TACAAAAGTTAAATTGTGATGACATAATCCAAATTTTTTAAAATAAAATATTATCTGAGAGAGCTGTAGATCTTTTGATTCGGTTTGTGCTTTCTGCTGCTGAAAATATAATTACTTATCTGTCATAGATCACAAACTTCGTTTGCTAAAATTCAAATTGTTATTTTTTAAGAACTGAAAGCCTTGACCGCAGAATATCATGGAATTTCGTCTTTTTTTTTAATCTATTGTTGAAACAGAAGGAAAATTTTTAACCTAGGTTTCCGATAACCTGCACCCGTGAAAAACCGAATTATCCGGCAACTTCAACCGTGTTTCCGATAACATGTTTTTGCCCAACGAAACATTTTAAATGCCCGTAAAATAAACCATAATTTGAATTTTGATACATAACTGCTTATCTAAAGGCTTATGATTGTCCATATAGTTAATAAATCACTTTATTTTATAAAACAAATTGATTCTGACCTCTATAAAGACTAAAATATGTTGACATATTCAAAATTTTTTATTAAATTTCATTTTAAAGAGCTGTAGATCTCTTGAAGGAGTGTGATTTGGATCGTGCTTTTTACCGCTGAAAGTATTATTATTTATCTACCAAAGATCACAAACTTTGTTTGCAGAAGTACACAATTATCATTGAATGAAGAAATTTAAAATCACCTACGTTTTCTATGCATTGTTTTTTCCTGCACCGAGTATCCGATCACAACCGAGTTGCCGATAACGCGTTGAGCAGTGTGATATAATTCATCTAAAGAAGCAGTTGTACACACAAGAAATATTCTGAATTTTATTCGCCACTTTTCAACTCTGTTACATTAAGAAATATTTTTTCTGTGATGTCTAACTATGGACCAGTTTAATTGTTGAGCTGAGTTGGAAAAATAATGGGTAGGGTTGTGTTGAAATATATTTATAATTATTTTCATGAGAAAAAAACTTTTTTTTAAAATATATATCAGGCTTCTTTGTTACCTGGTCACTCAACAGTATACCATTTAATAGAAAACTATTGATGACGGAAAGTTTAGCTGCATTATATTTTGTGATCTTTTAAAGCATTTGATAGTGTTTGGCATGAACGTAATTTATTTAACTTAAAACATGTGGGATTACTGGAAATTTCTGGAGAGTATGGTAGTTTGTGATCTGTCCAAAGCGTTCGACAGAGTGTTAGGGTTTACTTTTTAGCTCACCTGAGCCGAAGGCTCAAATGAGCTTTTCTGATCAAAATTTGTCCGTCGTCTGTCGTCGTCGTTGTTGTCGTTAACATTTCACATTTTCGACTTCTTCTCAAGAACCACTGGGCCAATTTCAACCAAACTTGGCACAAAGTATCCTTAGGTAATGAGAATTCAAGTTTGTTCAAATAAAGGGCCCGCCCCTTTTCAATGAAAGATAATTAAGAAATAATGAAAATTTGATGGTATGATTTAAAAATCTTCTTCTCAAGAACCACTGTTCCAGGAAAGATGAAACTTATAGGGAATCATCCTCAGGTAGTGTAGTTTCAAGTTTGTTCAAATCATGACCCCCCGGGGGTAGGGCGGGGCCACAATGGCAGATCAAAGTTTTACATAGAAATATATAGGAAAATTCTTTAAAAATCTTTTTCTCAAGAACCACTGTGCCAGGAAATATGAAACTTATAGGGAAGCATCCTCAGGTAGTGTAGATTCAGATTTGTTTAAATCATGCCCCCCAGGGTAGGACACGGCCACAATAGCCGATCAAAGTTTTACATAGAAATATATAGGAAAATTCTTTAAAAATCTTCTTCTCAATAAACACTGTGCCAGGAAAGATGAAACTTATAGGGAAGCATCCTCAGGTAGTGTAGATTCAAGTTTGTTCTAATCATGACCCCTGAGGGTAGGGCAGGGCCACAATGGCCGATCAACGTTTTACACAGAAATATATAGAAAAATTCTTTAAAAATCTTCTTCTCAAGAAACACTATGCCAGGAAATATGAAACTTATAGGGAAACATCCTCAGGTAGTGTAGATTCAGGTTTGTTCACATCATGACCCCTGGGGGTAGGGTACGTTAGGGCCACAATGGGCGATCAAATTTACATAAAAATATATAGGGAAATCCTCTAAAAATTTTCTTCTCAAGAAGCAAAGTCATGAATGATCAAATTTTTATGGAAGCAACCTCAGGTAGTGTAGATTCAGGTTTGTACAAATCATGACCCCCTGGGGTAGGGCGGGGCCACAATGGCTGATCAAAGCATATATATTGGAAAATTCTTTTAAAATCTTCTTCTTAAGAATAGCAAAGGCATGAATGATCATATTTTTTTGGAAGCATCCTCAGGTAGTGGACATTCAATTTTGTTCAAATCATAACCGCTGGGGGTAGGGCGGGGCCACAACATGGAATCCAAGTTTTACATAGAAACATGTAGAAAAAAATCTTTAAAATTCTTCTTTTCAAGAATAGCAAAGCCTTGATTAGTCCTATTCATATGGAAGCATTCTCAAGTAGTGTAGATTCAATTTTGTTCATGTCAGATCCCTGGGGGTATAGGGCCAGCCACAATGCAAGTTCAAATGTAAAGGGCAATAAAGGCACAGGTAGTCAAAGAAATATGCAAGCATCCTTAGTTAGTTAGATTCAAGTTTGTTCAAATCATACCCTCTATTTTTTACGGACTGGTTGGGACCACTATTGGGTTTAAACTTTTCAATAATTAAATTGATTTCTGCCTTTTTTCTAGCCACATTGCTCAGGTGAGCGGTGTGGCCCATGGGCCTCTTGTTAAATTAAGGACATACGGTTTTTGTGAAAATATTCTTACCTGTATTGAGAGTCACTTATATAATAGAAGGCAAAAAGTTATGTATAAAGCTATTTTTCGTGTGGTAGAAACACTAATGCTGGTGTATTACAAGGATCAGTTCTGGTCCTTTACTTTTTTGATTTTATGTGAATGATGTATCAGAAAACATTATTTCTTTATGTAGATTGTTTGCAGATGACAACTTGTTGCAAAGTTCCTCATAGAATGTTGCAACTAATGAATATGTTTTAAATTTCTATTACAGTAAAACACGGTGAAAGCGAAGTCCTGGGGACCTGTGAATTTAATTCGCTATATCCGTAATTCGTTATATCCGTATAACGAATTCGTATAACCATATATAGCAAATTCGCAATATGCATGTTTTCCTTCAAGTGTTACAATCAAATATGTTAGGGAAGCAAATATTACAAAACATACCTTCGATAACTAAGGTTTTATTACGAATTGAATTTTATATACAAATGCTGAGAGAAAATAAAGTCAGTTCAATTATTCAAATTTTGAAATCTTTGCAAGTTCGTTATAAAAGATTTAAAATTCATTATATTTAACCTCTACGGGACTCAAAATCAGTTCGCTATATCCGTAAATTCGTTATATCAGAGTTCGTTATAACTGTAAAATTTTACAAAGATCTGTTAAGAATTTTGCCGGGGACCCAGAAAAACTTCGTTATATCCGTGAATTCGCTATATCCGTGTTCGTACTTAACGTGTTTTACTGTACTAGTAAGATATTCTTGCGATTCTGCGATTTGCTGATGTCAGATGACATAGATGGCCTTGCAGGGAAAGAGGCTGAGCTAACCAGCTTGGTGAGTCGCCTTGACCAAGCAGCCAGCTTCTGCATATGGCATGGAAATAAGTGCAGAAAAACAAAGCTGATGACCAACAACACTCAAAGCATCACCTCAAAAGTCAAGGTCATCGGAATATGTCTGGAAACAGTGAAGACATTTTGAAATGTTGATTAACTTAGTGATAACTTCAGGCTTTATGAGGTTTGATCACCTGACCAACCACATTTTGAAAAATAAAACTCAAAATTGATTTAAGTTAGTTCAAAGTGCTTTGAATTTTCATTTAGTAAGTACATGACACAAGTTTCTTTGTTAAAAGAAAACTGATTCTTTAAAAATTCAAAATACCTAATTTTGTAAAACTATCATAGAAAATTGTATACTGTAGTGATAAGTTTTGCTTATAACTCCAGCGATCATTATGACATTTATAGTTTAATAGTTGTTTTTTTTTAATCAGGAAGCAATATACATTCGTTTTGCTAATGGAAGGTTTAAATACATTTTATTTACAGTAAATATTTGCTAAAAGCATTGTGGGGTTTTTTTTTATCAGTGGTGTTACTTTCTAATCTAATTGCAATGAATCATGCAAAAAAAAAAAAAAAAAAAAAAAAAAAAACCAAGGACCATTGGTTTGGAATAATGGTCCTTGGTTTTATTTATTTATTATTTATCTATTAATTTTTGAAAGACCAAAACTGTAGGAAGAAAAGCAATTTGAAAGTGTTCAATAGAAATTTCTATTTTTAGTAACAATGGCAACACTTTTCATCAAAAATGATGCACTTAATTATGTACATTTACCAGAACCTAAGCATAGTCTACTTGTGTGCCAAGATAATTAAATAGGAGAAGCATTTAAAAGGAATTTCACAGAATTTTCTATTTTAAGTGACCATAAAAACATTAAAATCAAAAACCAATATAAAGAATCGAGTAACTTAGTGTAGTCTACTAGTGTGCACCCAAAGTTATTTTGAAATCAAACCAAAACTGTAGGAGGAGTAGCATTTTGAAAATTGTATACAGAATGACAGACAGATGGACAGACAACTGGCACCTTGCCATTACATAAGCTCTTCTGAGACCTGTTTTACAAAAGAACTTATGACTAAGATCAAAAACTCATGCTGAATAGATTGTAAAATTTTGAAAATAAATTGTTCTTTTGAATCTAGACTTGGTAAGTTTGAACTTTTTTACCCCTTGATTCTTGAAAAAAAAGTCTCTTAATGACTTAATTCAAGTTTTGATATAATAAAATACTGAAAATAATTTTGAAATGTGAAAAAGGCTACATACCAAATGACACAAAGCAGATGGACATTAACAAGACAATTTTTGACCATAAAAGAGACTTTATTCAGCCTTCTGTTCAGGTATGTTAAAAATCTCTTAAACAGATTTTACGTACTTTAGAATAACAATGATGCAAAATAAACAAAATTAATACATTTATTCTATTTTTTTTACACAGCATGATAGATATTTTAAAAAGTTTTCAAGTTCTGTGAGCAATTTCTCTTATTCAGTTGTCTGTCGCATAAATGAAAAAATCTTTTGAGAATGCATCCATTACTTTTGTAGAGACTTCTACGTAACTGATTCATTTTAATATTTAAATTGAGGAACACTATAAATACACCCTGAATCAGCTTTGTTCTGGTGCCTTTGGTTTGATGAACCTCCCCTGGACAAATATCCTGGGGACACATAGATCCTCCTTTTTATTGACTGTATCTCTTTGTATGTACTCACACTGACTCAAGGTCATATCAAATCCACATCTCTTCACAAGATCTAACACTCTGTCTGAAAAAAATAATAAATTTTCATCATTTAAAACATTTCAAATTGGTTAAAAAACAATGGTGAAATGTAAACAATATTTGGGCACAGGTTGAAATAGTGATTAGAGGACTCAACAAGCCTAATGCTTTCTATCATGTATTCTTATCTTTTCTTACCCTCATCCAAATATGGCTTACAAGTATTTCAAAACAATAACATGTATTTTATATATACCATTTAAAACATCACCTTTTGAAGCCCCAACTTAGAGCCTGGTACCTTAATTTGAACAAATTGAATCTATTCTAATTGATTATACCATATCAGAAATAATCTTAGTTCTTCCTGAGTAAAATATTTTATGATCATTTATTGAAGCCTCGCCCTTTCCTACGGGCTGTGAATTCTTCATGACATGTATAAATCTATTCATATATTAACCTTAGGATGCCTCCAAATCTGGTTAATCATCATTTTGTTATCTTGAGAAAAATTGTAAAGGGAGAGGGTTCTTTATTGAGAAAAAAAGGTGCCTGGACACAGATTTGAAGATAAGATTTTATAAAATTTTGGTTAATATCGGAAACACATGGAAATATAATATCAAACTTATTTTATCAGGAAATTATTGAATTTCAAAATATGAATTTTGGGACATGTTTGTATGATTGACACATCCTTGCACTTTCACTAAACCCAGGAGCTATGATTTAAATCATTTTAAATCAGAGAGCTTCCACATTGTTACACCGAAACTTTCTGTTTTTAAATAAAAACGCCCAAAGTTTCCAACAAAGTTTATTTTGTATTCCCGTGTAACACTTTACACACAGGACCTGACTGAGTAACTAATTGAACACACAAATTCTATGCTAAATATTAAGAACTGCCCAAACTACAGACTGCCAATCACTGCTAAATTAACCCGTTAATTTTGAACACTATGAATTCTGCATTTTCTCATGGCCAGCACTTCAGACATTCAATCCCCCTGAGACTCGGGTGATAAAAGTCAGCAATGCTGATACAAGAGCTAAATTTCCCAGCCAAATCTTAATGAGCGGTCAAGACCTTATCACATAAACAGATCACTGCAGTCTGTAGCTTAGAGTAATTACTACAAATCAACAAGATTAAGATAATATAAATCAAGCATTAATTATACAAACAATTTCACACTAAATTTCACTTTAACACCTCCCTTCTAAAGATAAAAATTTAACTGTCAATAGTTGAATTTTTTCCAAGTTCATAATTCTGTATATAGCAACATTAAATTTAACCAGTCACTAAATTCACTTTAGCCAGTCCAAATAAGTATTAAACAGTTAATAGCAATTAATCATCAAAAGAACATTATAAATCCAAAATGAATTTCACTATTAATCCAAACTGAATGCACTTGAATTTTATGAATATAAAATTTTCACAAAAATTGCCCATAATTCACAAACACATGTCACTTTTCAGATTCTTGATAATCCGTCTGCATTTGTGTTTTTGCTTCCTCTCTTATATCTAACTTCAAAGGTGTACGATTGTAATGCGAGGGCCCAACGTAAAAGTCTCTGATTTTTATTCTTCAAGCGATGCAACCATGTTAGTGGATTGTGATCTGTTTCTACGTAAAACTTCCTCCCCTCTAGGTAATACGAAAACGATCCAATGGCCCAAACGATAGCTAATAATTCCTTCTCTATCGTTGAATAGTTCTTTTCCCTTGGAAGTAACTTCTTACTAAGGTAAGCAACTGGGTGATCACCATCTGGCAACTGTTGGCTCAGGACAGCCCCAATTGCGTTATTACTCGCATCTGTTTGTAGTACAAACGGTAAATTGAAATTCGGATTGACCAAAACAGGAGCTGTCATCAGGGCCTCCTTCAGTTTCTTGAATGACTGCACTTCCCTCTCCGTCCATTTTAATTCTGTGGGCTGACTTTTTCTCAGTAGATCAGTCAGTGGTACAGTTATGTCCGCATAATTTCCTATATACTGGCGATAGTATCCAGTTAATCCCAAGAATGATCTTAATTCCTTCTTTGTCAAGGGAAGCGGAAAATCCTCCATGGCCTTCAATTTCCTAGGGTCTGGTCTAATTGTCCCTCCACCAACTATGTGTCCTAAACAGATGATTTCTGCTGCTCCCAACTTACATTTTGATGGTCTGATGGTAAGATTGGCCTCATAAATACGCTGAAGTAGCTCTGTTACATGTTTGATATGGTCTTCCCACGTCTGACTGTAGACAATTATGTCATCAAAGTACGCAACAGTATTTTGAGTTCCATCTAAAATACGATCCATAAGTCTTATGAATGATGCTGGAGACGTCTTCATACCAAACGGCATCACTGTAAACTCGAAAAGGCCAAATGGGGTGATGAAGGCGGATTTCTCGCGTGTTTCCTTTGCCAGAGGAACTTGCCAGTAGCCTTTTGTTAGATCAAATCTACTCAAATATTTTGCACTTCCAATTTTCTCAAATATATCACTCATGCGTGGAATGGGATAAGGGTCCATGAGAGTTATTTCATTCAATTTTCTATAATCAACACATATTCTAATTGTCCCATCAGGCTTGTTGACAAGGACAATTGGTGAGGCCCACGGACTTTTGGATGGTGTAATAAGTCCTTGTTCTAACATTTCATTCAAAGACTCCTTCACTTCCTGTTTCTTAGCTTCCGGTATCCTGTAAGGTCTCTGAGTAATTGGATTCTCAGACGTTGTTTTGATTGTATGTGAGATAACATCACACTTTCCCGGCTTTGATGTGAAAATTCTTGAAAATTTCTGACAAACATCCCTTAAACTCTGTCTCTGCACTTGTGTCAGCCCATGTCCAAAGACAAGATCTGAAATGGTTTCTGTGGTGTCGTTGGGAAATTGCTGTTCAAGTCCAATTTCATTTTCTGTTGCTGCCAGCAATGTAGCCCGGTTATAAGGACGAAGTAAATTGATATGGTAAGTAACAAGTCCACGTCGTCCTCCAACATTGATTTTATAGTTAACATCATTTACCTTGTTAACCACACGAAACGGTCCTTTCCACTGAGCGGACATCTTGCCAGGTTCAGTCGGGAGTAAAACGAGTACTTCATCACCAGGACGCAAAGTCCTTTTGGATGCTGAGCGATCATACCAATCTTTGATCTTCGACTGCCTCATTTCCAAGTTGTTTTGCACGAGTTGTGTCACATCAGCCAGTTTGTTTCGGATGTTGACGACATGATCTATCTCTGATGTTTTTATTTCCTCCTCACCAGTCATGAAGCTCTTTAAAACACTAAGAGGACCACGTACTGGCCATCCGTACAACAGGTCAAATGGTGAAAAACCAGTCTCCTCATGCGGGACTTCTCTGTACGCGAAAAGTACATAGGGAAGTAGTACATCCCAATCTTCGCCATTCTCCATACACAACTTTTTCAACATTGATTTTAATGTTCCATTAAATCTTTCAACTTTGCCATTAGCCTGCGGGTGATAAGGCGTTGTAGTTATTCCCTTGATTTTGATTTTCTCATATAAATCTTTCAGGAGCGCACTTGTGAAATTTGATCCTTGGTCAGTGAGAATGGTTTTAGGAATTCCAACTCGACTAAATAATGTAATGAGAGTGTCGGCTATTCGTTCAGCTTCACAACTTGGTAAAGCAAAAGCTTCTGGGTATCTCGTAGCTTCATCAATGACAGTCAGAATGTATTTGTTACCTTGAGTTGTCCTACTGAGTGGGCCAACGATGTCCATTGCGATCTTTGAAAACGGATCAGTTATGATAGGTGTGTTGACCATAGGAGCTCTTTCCGCACTTCTTTTTGCCACTTTTTGACAAGTGTCACATTCTGCGCAGTAGTCCGACACATCTTGGAACAATCCAGGCCAATAAAATGACGCAAGAATACGTTGTTTGGTCTTCTCAGTTCCTAAATGTCCAGCTATTGGCTGATCATGTGCCAGCTTCATCACTGCTTTTCTTAGCGATGCTGGAAGTACCACTTGTGTTCCCGACAGATTCTTTTTCTTGGAAGTCCATTTTCGTTTCAATATGTCATTCTCCCAGTAAAACGCTTTATGTTCTGTCTCAGTTTGCGATACATTTTTGAATGCTTTATCCCTACAATTTTGGAGTGTTGGGTCTTGTTTCTGAAGATTCGATAGTTTATTTCCATTCACCACGCTCAACTTTTCCAATGAAATTTCCGGTAAATCAAGGTTCACTTCACCAGCCTCATCGTTAGTTATCACGACGTTTAAGTCCCTTGGTACGACATCACATTTATTCATGCGATTTTTGGCACTTAATTCATTTTGTTCTTGTTCTTTTGCTTTGGCTCTCGTAACCACAGCTGCAACTTTGTTCCTCTCCAGAACATCTATTCCCAATAAACCATCTGCAACCAGATCAGGTACTAAACCTACCTGAACATGTCCCTTAAACATTGGTGTTTCCAGGTTAACCACAGCTAACTTAGCCTCGAATGGCTGTCCAATAGCTGTAACCAAGGAAGTAGTTTGTCCATGTAGAACACATTTTGGATCAACAAGATCCTCCCGCAATAGCGTCATAGATGCTCCAGTGTCCTTGACCATTGACACTTCCACATCATCCACTTTCCCCGGAACATAATGTAAACCCCATAATGCTCCTTTCACGAAACACGACGCTAGATTACCTTTCTTTGGGCATTTGTTTGCATAATGTCCAAAGTTCCCACAGCTAAAACATTTCACTTTTTCCAAACTTTTCTGTTTTCCGGAGTTCCCCTGTTCCTGGCTCTTCTTCTCACCTAACACTTTAGGATTTAGAAGTTTTCTGTCCTCGGCCGATTTTGTTGGTAGAATGTAATCCTCAGCAGCTTCAACTAACTCACTACTTCCCTTATTCCGTCTAATCCACTGGGCTTGTTGAGGAGATAATGCCTTTAAGAAATACTCTTCTCGGAACTTTTGTACGGGATCTTTCTCATCAATGAAACGACTCAAATACAGATCTATTCTCGACATTAATCCTCTGTAAGTTTCTCCTGGTCTACGTTTAATTTCCTCCAGGAACTGAAAGTAGTCTGCTGATTTTTAAAGAATTTTCCTATATATTTCTATGTAAAACTTTGGTCGGCCATTTTGGCCCCGCCCTACCCCCGGGGGTCATGATTTGAACAAACTTGAATCTACACTACCTGAGCATGTTTCCATATAAATATGATGAATTATGGCTATGTCATTCTTGAGAAGAAGATTTTTAAAGAATTTTCCTATATATTTCTATGTAAAACTTTGGTCGGCCATTTTGGGCCCGCCCTTACCCGGGGGGTCATGATTTGAACAAACTTGAATCTACACTACATGAGCATGCTCCCATATAAATATGATGAATTATGGCTTTGTCATTCTTGAGAAGAAGATTTTTAAAGAATTTTCCTATATATTTCTATGTAAAACTTTGGTCGGCCATTTTGGCCCCGCCCTACCCCCGGGGGTCATGATTTGAACAAACTTGAATCTACACTACCTGAGGATGTTTCCCCATAAGTTTCATCTTTCCTGGCACAGTGGTTCTTGAGAAGAAGATTTTTAAAATATACCACTAAATTTTCATTAATTCCCAATTATCTCCCCTTGAATAAGGGCGTGGCCCTTCATTTGAACAAACTTGAATCCCCTTCACCCAAGGATACTTTGTGGCAAGTTTGGTTGAAATTGGCCCAGTGGTTCTTGAGAAGAAGTCGAAAATGTGAAAAGTTTACAGACAGACAGACGGACAGACAGACGGACAGACGGACGCCGGACAAAATGTGATCAGAAAAGCTCACTTGAGCCTTCGGCTCAGGTGAGCTAAAAACAGCAAACAAACAACCTGTACATGTACCTGTCAGTATCTTGTTAATTACCTGTAGAGAAGTAGTAGGCCCTGGTCCCATCCTGTCTGACATAGAAATTTTCTGATAGCTTATGACCTGACGCAAACCTCAGCATGGCATAATCATACAGACCATAGTCCCTAAATAACAGACTGCCTCCAGGTTTCATCACCTAAATGTAAAAATTGTTTGCAAATCATGGAATCCTTGACAAATGAATGAACAAGTAAAATAAATATCAACCTGAGTTTACTCAGGTGACTTAAAAATTTTGCCTTTGATTTAAAAAAAATCTTTGCTGTTTGTATATAACCTGAAATCTGCTAGTAAGATCTTTGTTCATACTATTAAGAGTTTTACCATAAAATGTAAAGTACACTGTACTTCTTCAAAGCTGAATCTCAACCAATGTTTGGACTTGACATACATGATTAATTAATGAAAATATCTTTTTAATATACATTTACATGTAATATAATTCTCAAAAATCATAATTATTTATTTTGTAATTTATCACAGTACTTTTAAAGAAACGTAATCACCTTAATAATGTTAGATAAAGCTGCCTCCATTTTGTCTGGGTGTATGGCTGACAGGACGAAGATAATAGACACTACATCTACCGAGTCCTGAGGGATGGACACACTCAGATGATCCTTAGTGAGGTCACACTGGAAGGCACAGCACCGAGTCGAGTCATACTCAGGATTATCCTACATGAAACATAATTCATCACATTAATTTCATGATTTTTAAAATCAGACCTAAAGAAATGCACATTTTTTACAATTTAAATAATTTAAATTCAAGATTTATGTTTCATTAAATAATGAAACAAATTTAAAGTGAACAAAAGCATTTTTCTAATTTTCCTAAAAAGGTTTGCATAACAAGGGAGAAAACTCTTGCATATATTTTCAGAAGTTTCTTATTTACAAAAGTTATCTCTCTTTGTTCATGAGCTATGTAAAGAGTATAATGTTATCCTGCCTAAAGAAAAGTTTTTGATTTATATAAAAGGACAAATCTTGCAAACCAAAAAAAATGGATATACACATGTATTTTAAATCTATTTCAAAAGTAAAAGATGCAATAAATTTCTAAAATATCTAAAAAATGGAAAACTTTCTAAGATGTTCAATATTTTACCCCTTTGGCCATCATGCTTATAAATCTAGATACATATTTAACACTATGTCATGTATGTAGGACATTATAATGAAACCTTAAATAAAAATTTTAAGCTATGAAGTAAAAATTATTCATTCTAATTATTTAAACATGGTTCAGTTGAAATTTAATTTGAAACAAAAAAGTTTGTTGGTATGGTAAAAGCTGTCCTTTGGTTTCATACAAAATAAAATACCTTGACAAACTGAACAGCTCTGGGAGAGAAATCACAGGCGTAGAAGAAGAGCGATTTGTCCTCTTGTAACAGTGGCCAGATAAAGTTCCCCACCCCACAGCCCACCTCTAGTATAATCCTCTGACCTGTCTGTATAAACAAAGCAATTAATACCGAGAATTGTTAGATACACAAAAAAACTTATTTCTCTAGATATAATATCTCTTGCAACGATAAATATCACTATTGGAACATGTATCTAATTACGCTGAATACACTGAATTCTGCAAATTATTTTTTTAGAGATTGTGCAATTGAACACAATACCCTTTTTTAAATTTAATTTTTGAATAAAAGAATTATGAAAAATTTTAATTCTGGTGTCTATAATAATCGGGTAAATATTTTTGATTATTACCTCTGTATCAGTTGGACACAGATCATCAAACTCCCGCTTTGTCCAATGCCGGTCCTTAAAGAACTTTGTGGTGTTCCTCTTGTAGAATAGGTCCCAGTTTTTCTGAGCCTCTTTTTCAAGTTTGTTCTGTTTAAAATCAGACACACAGGTCACATCTTTTTTCAGTTTTGCGATTTCCTCTGGGGTGAGAGTTCGAGCAGAGTGACCAAAATTCTCCTCACAGTCATTGCTGGCTAATGCCTTCTCAGATTTCTTAACTTCTGCTTTTGAGTCTGCAGTGACTGTCATTTGCTTTACTTGAACATTTACAGAATCTGCTAATGAGTCATCTACACCTAGTTCTGAATTATGAGATGAATTTTCATTTAACTCATTTCCTTCTCCTACATTACATGTACACTTGTTTTCCATTTTATTTTAAGATGACAATATTCCACAATTTTTTTTTCCTAGCCCCCCAAAAATCTAAAAAGTAACTTTGATCAATTAATGCCCAACATGAAGTAAAGGAACACAACTGCATCCAGTTAATTTGTTAAATTCTTTCAAGATCAACGACTCTTTTTCAAACATTTGCTCAAACTGTTCCTCGGTTTCATGATCATAGCCAATCAGATGACAGATACCATGTGTTATCATGACAGGTAAAATTTCCTGTATCTTCTGGTTGTTATGACGACACTGTCTGTTAATGTACGGAATTCCCAGATATATATCTCCCAAGTCTAACACACCATGAATTGGTGTGGGGGGCAATTTTCCAGGCACAAGATCTTCGTAAAATGGAAATGCTAAAACGTCAGTTGGTTGTGGCTTTCCTCTGTATTGAGTGTTTATGCTGGTTATTTCTCTGTTATTAACACAGGTTACGGACACGTCATAAGATTCAACTCCAAACAACTTACGCAGGAGGTTAATTTGGGATTTCAACAGGCATGTATCAAGGGAAACTACTCTTTGCAGATTTTCAAACAGCAAGGACATATTACTCTTTCAAAAGTTTTCATCACCTGCAATAGATACATATTTTTATTACACTTAATTACCTGAAATGGAAAGAAATATTCTTTTCTGAATGAACACTACCTGGATATGAATGTGTTATGTTACTTTGTTAACATCACACAGAAAATTAACCATGTTAACCTAGCAACATTGAATATGTATTGACTGCAAGGTTTCAAGGGCAACATGTATTTTTGTTGGACCCAAGAAACAGTGAGTCTACACTTTAAATGCACTATGTCCAAGAACCATGAGTCAATAAGGTTTGTTAAGGACACCTTTTACTTTTTATTTTGAAATATTGTGACATAAATTTTGTTGCATCTAAAGGCCTCAGGCAAAGTGAAAACATGTATTGGTAATAATTTTATGTTTTCAACCCTCAAAAGTCATTGTAATGTTTTTTTAAATACCGTATAAGTGGAAATTTTAGCGAGACGCAAATTTAGCGTTTTTTCCTTAAAAGTGGGTAATTCATTTTTAGCGCGAGTTAATTTTAGCAATTTTAAAATGCCTACTAAAGCAGTATTACAAATATTAAAATGCAATTAATTTTTAGTGGTATGCAATATTAGCGATCTCATGACCCTCGCTAATATTGCCAAAATTAAATCCTCGCTAAAAATTCTACTTATACGGTATTGAATTCTATTGCAATTATCAATTTCTGTGAGAAAAATTATCTTCCATTTTAAAAGAACACTACATTGTAAAACCTATCTAGCCCTCTTAAAAAGTTCAATCTTTATAAATAACAAATTAACTCAATCTAAAGGCCAATTCTGAATTTTAAGAAATTGAATGTGCTTGTTGATAGCATTTTCATTGATTTTTCTTATCATGAAATTCATCAGAATTATTCATAACTTACTCCTGTTTAATATCTACATTAAAAACGAAATCCACAATTCAAAGTGTCAATAAGCAAAATCACCCTAGCCATACAGACACCTGTATTTTCATTTTTATTTTATTTATTATACATTTATTGCATGATAGTGAGGGAAATATGAAGACTTATTCAGCCAAGAAAAATCATATTCACTAGGTGTTCCGAAGAGGTGGAATATGATGAAAAGCGTGCCGACGACAGGAAATATGAAGTTTTACGGCCCGATCACGTGATAACCTAGGACCAATCAGATAACACGTTGTGTAGAATATTTATAATGAGGTATAATAATATAAATTATTAATATTTTTTGGTGAAAGTGCTCATGTTTGGTCAATGCAGAACCTTTTGCAATTTTACAGAAAATTATCTGACATTGCAAAACAAAAGTACATGTATTGGTCAAATGGCAAAGAGGTTTGGTCAAAGTGCCACATAAAACTTCCTACAGAAAATCCTTTTGAAACCTTTCCTAATTTTGGTTGTTTTTAAATAACTGAGGAACTGGGGAAGGTTTTGAAAATGATGAGTTTATCTGCCTAAATTAAATCTAATATATTTTCCAGAAAAAAATATATAATCATGTGTTTGACAGATACTTTAGGATGATTTTTTTAAAAAGATTGTCATTGGGCCCTTTGACCAAAACAAGGGGATACAATGACTAAAATTGGGGGGAGGGGGGCAGTGTATAATTCTGTTGGGGGAGGGGGACTAAGGCTTTGACTGGCTTTTCAAGTTTTATTTAGAAAATCTATAAAAATTGTTACTTATAGGCCTACAGTAATGTATGGTAAAATTAATTTTGAGGTGTAATTGAGATGCAGTGTATGTAGGAATATTTTAGACTATTTAAAATAATAAAACATGTACTTTTCAAAAGACTTGCAGTGAAGCCAACTAATTTTGATTACAGTAAGTTTTCCTTACAGTTTCAGGAAAAAGGATAAAGTTGATCAGATTTTTGTCAAAATACAATTTATTTTTTAATTTATAAGCTAGGGAAAAATTGTAAGGAAACATCTTTTAAACAATTTTAAGCTAGAGAAAAGTTGTAAGGAAAAAACTTACAAATTGCTGATCTGTTCGTCATCATGCTTTTCAGGTTGAAAATGAAAGTAAATTGTAAATGCTAAAACCCTACTGAGGAATTTCCGAGATAAAATGTAAAGTTTGTAAACAGTGGCCTGGTGTTAAATTTTTCGTTTCTTTATTTATCAACTGTTTTAGAGGCATCTTTTCGAAAAATGTGGGTGGCCCTTAAAAGGGCCGTGGGGTTTTAATCAGTGAACAGCTGCTCACTTAGCCTTTGCTGCTTTCTTTGCCTTTCTTGGAGAGCTGGGCCTTTTTCTTGCCTTGGATTTGGTCTTCTTGGGCGACTTCCTTGCTGCTTTGGGCTTCTTGGCTGCCTTCGCTTTCTTTGGTGACTTTGCCTTTCTTGCTTTCTTTACTTTCTTAGCTGCTGCTTTCTTTGCCTTTGGTTTCTTTGCCTTTGGCTTCTTTGCTTTCTTGGGCTTCTTCGCTGCTGCCTTCTTTGCCTTTGGCTTCTTAGCTGCCTTCTTCTTGGGCGTTGTTGCAACTTTTCCTACTCTGAAACGTCCGCTTGCACCGTGGGCACTGGATCCTTTAGGTCGAACAAGGGCTCCTGACTTAAGACCTTTAGAGAACGCGGCTTTCATTGCTGAAGACAGGTGTGTTTCACTCACCGATTTGTTGTTAGCCAAGATGTATTTTCTGATGGACTGGGCTGAGGATCCTTTACGGTCCTTCATAGCAGTAATGGCCGCACACACCATGTTGAGAGTTGTTGGATGGGCCGCTTGCTTGGCTGCTGCTCTGGGTTTGGATGCCTTCTTCTTTGGTGACTTTCTTGCCTTCTTTGCCTTCTTAGGAGATCCACTTCGGCTGCGGCTTCTACTTCTACTTCTGCTTCGGCTCCTGCTTCTGGACTTGGTCATCTTTGGGGTAGCTGGCTTCGCCGATGCTGGAGATTTTTTCGCTACAGCCTTCTTAGGTGCTGCCTTCTTTGGAGATCGACTTCGGCTTCGGCTCCTAGATCTTGACTTGGACCGGGACCGAGAACGAGATCGGGATTTCGCCATATTCTTACGAACTGACTGGAACTCTTGCTGGAACAAGAATGACGCTCGAAGCTGGTGACGCGCTATTTATTGAAGTAGCGCGGACGTTAAAGAGAGCACCCTGTAGCCGGATGCTGAGTTATCATGGCGGACAGCGAAAATGGCATATTTGTGCTTTCAGGGTGAACGTTTTCGACTTATTCTCTTCGTCCCTTTGCACCTTGGATACCGTGTAGCCTATGTATTATTGGGCTGACATTAGGAGATCATTTATCGGCATTCATATTTTTTCTATTGCGATTTTATGACAAGTAAGCGGCTTTTAAGTGTGTGCTTTGTATGTCATCGCTACTGACACGTCTACTTCTCATTTTAATTTCTGTCTAGGGATACATGATATAAATGATTTAACTGTCTTGAACTTTTGTACACATGTATTTCTTCTTGTCTGGTATAGAATTTTGAAATTTGAACACGGTTATTTATGAAATATTACACTTCTTTGATAACCAACTCAACCGTTTTCAAAAAATCAGTAACGTTACTATAGAACCATAACAATAACAATACTAGCTAGTTTTTGTTATTTTTATTTTATATAAAACGACAATATCTATTTTCTAAAACATACATTATTATTAGAAAACAAAATTTTAAACAAAAGGGATGAAAATAAAGAATTTTGAAAAATATTAATCGTTTTTCACAGCATGCATGTTTAGGCCTACATTTAATAGTGAACCGTTTCAAATCTAAGCGAAAGTTTGAAGTTTTCAAGATTTAACGTCCTGTCAAACAATAAAACATGAATAAAATATTTTGCTTATAAGATGGAATATATATTTTACAACATTTTAGTTGACATTTCATATAAAGTATTCTTTATTTCATACAATATCAGGTGACCGTCTGTTTTTGCAGACGGGAAGCCATTAGGCTATTTTCATTTGGAGAAAAAATATTGGTTTCAAAGTTTTAGGTATTGACTGAAAATCATTAACAAAAGTTTGCAGTCCCCATTATACAAAGTTGTAGGATTTTTTCTTTTAGTATTTCTACATTTATTTGAAAAAATGTTCTCGTAAAAACATGAATTAGGCTACCTCAAAACAAAGTTCTAGGCTATATTCCGAGCTCTTAACTAAAAATTGAATCTTAATTTATTTTTTGAGGGAAAAAAATGGTATGTTTATTTAAACAACAGGTAGGGAAAATTTTAAAGTTTATCAAGAATAATCTAAGTCTTTGAATTTTGAAATGAACTTCATATGTCTTAACCTATGTTTTCATATTCAAGATTATGAAGATACCTAAAAAAAATCCAAGCAATATTTCAAAAAATAATTTGGTTTCAAAGTTACATGTATTGAATGAAAATTATTAACAAAACTTTGTAGTCACCACTAAACAAACTTTCAAGTGATTTTACTTTTATCTGAAATACACATGTATTAATTTTCAAATGCATGCACAAAATAAATTAAAAAAATAATTTCAGTATCAGGCACAAAGTATTTAGATCTCCAAGTAAATATTGAAACTTCTATTTTATTATTTTTGGGGGAAAAGTAATGTTTATTTTAAGAACAGATAGAACCAGTTTTTGAGACTTGAATATAAAATACATAAAGAAATAAATCAATCTTATGCATACGAAATTCATATTAATCTTGTGAATGTTTTCAGCATGTTCAGAACAAAAATAAATCGGGATCGGGAGGCAGTAAAGGCAGCATGGAAGAGGTCAAGAAAGCAGCGTGTGACTTCATTGACAAATATGCCAGTGAGCTTCATCATCTAAGCAAAATCATCTGGGAGAAGCCTGAGTTGGCGTACAGGGAACATCACGCGCATGACGTCATAGCGGCATATCTCGACAAACACTATTTTACTGTGGAGAAACACTACAAACTCGACACAGCATTTCGTGCTGAATTTTCGACCCCAAACTCTAAGGATGGTCCCCGTGTGGCAGTACTATGTGAATATGATGCTTTGCCAGGGATTGGTCATGCTTGTGGTCACAATCTTATTGCAGAGGTGGGCGTGGCAGCTGGAATTGCCATAAAACAAGCAATGACAACATCTGGACAGGCCCTTTGTGGGCAGGTATAGCTTTATACACAAGCACTTGGGGGCCTCCTGGGCACACTGACACACACCCCGCCCCCCGATTTTCCGTTTTTGTTTTTTTTTCCTTTTTAAATCTGTCTTTGACACATTTTATGTATCAGTCGAAAACGATATATTTAAAAACAGCATAATTATTAAGACAAATGAGTTACATTATCGATATCAGATAGTGTATATAGTATAGTATATACATGCGTACATGTACAAAAATGTGGGAAAAATGTGTCAACCTTAGATTTAAAAAAGAAAAAATGGAAAGGGGGTCCAGCCCCAATGTGCCTAGCTGTGCTTCATACTTCAACATAGAGTAGAATTTTATAGTTCAAAGCAAATATTGTTGGCAGTAAATTTTTGTCATCCTCGATTGTTTATTGATGTCTCAACATTCTACATGTACATTACTATTTTATTTTAAGTATATTTGAGCATAGATATAAACACTATACATCATCATCAGCAAATATTGTCTACATCGTAGTACTATGTAAAAGTACTGTAAACATGTTACATTTGGCTGTGTATTCTTTTTTGCGGCTTAAGCGGGTAGCAGCAACTGCTAAATCAAGTACATGTACTTAGCTAAATGTCTTGCAGGTATACACATAAATAAGAATGTGAAGAAATGCGCTAAATCAATGCCCTGTTCACACGGAGAGTTTAATTCGCAGTAAATTAATTCGAAGTAAACTAATGCAAATCAAACTAATACGAATTAAATTGCATTCACACAACAGCTAATGCGAAGTAAACTAATGTGAATTAAAATTTTACTTCTGCAACCTGGCGTCAGCACGGCTATTATGACGTCACCAGCAAATCACATCACCTTATGCTGAAGCAGATCTATTTGATATAATAGCAAAGTGTCTGTATGTCTGTATTAAATGATTAATAAAATTTTCTGTAGTTTTTCACTCAAAAATCGCACAAGTACCTATAGCTGACCACCAACAATTAGCATTTGACTAAAATTTGCCATTACGCATGCGTCAGAAAATTCGAATTAGCTTCGCTTAGCGTTCACACGTAGCTAATGCGAAGTAATTTAATGCACAGTAATCTAATGCGAATTAAAGTAATTTGCATTAAATTCTCCATGTGAACGCTAAGCGAAGCTAATTCGTAGTAACTTTACGTTTAATTAGAATTAAACTCTCCGTGTGAACAGGGCATAAATCTACGCTAACTTATTCAAAAGTCAATTTCCGCCAAATATCGTACATGCTGAATATAATACATTTTAATATCAGTCATATTACCAGGTATATACCAATGTTTAACAATATTAAACCATATTCCAGTTGTCAGTGATAGGGACCCCGGCTGAGGAGGGTCGCTGTGGTAAACACGACTTGATTACGGCGGGAGCCTTCACCTCAGTGGACGTGGCCATGATGGCTCACCCCTCACAGTACACACTGGCCCGTCCAAAGTATACGTCCATGATTCCGTAAGTGTGCAAATCACCATTGTATGGTTCATCAATACATTTCTAGTAAACTTTTTCTCATATTGTCTACTTGTTTCCTGCTCAATAGCAATGAATTTAAAATTCTGGTAAATCTTAATGTCATAAATTTGAGGGGTTTTGTGATCTTTCAAATATTTGATATGTATATATGAATACAAATTTAAAAAGTGGTTTGTAAAGAACAAATGATGGTGAAAAAGTATGAATCTTTCCATAAAGCCTAATTTATCTTCACTAATTTTGAAATCATTTTAGTGTGACTATCAAGTTCAGTGGTCAGGCAGCCCATTCAGCCTCTCACCCCTGGGAGGGCCTCAATGCTCTGGACGCAGCGGTCATGTGCTACAACAGTATATCGTGTCTCCGGCAGCAAATGAAACCAACATGGAGAGTTCATGGTTAATATAATTCAGTGGCCCT